AATAAATAAAAACTTACAAGGATAACACTCCGCATAAGTGTCATCATCATCGGCCCCGGCCAGCAGCGCCGAAGGAGCTGTTTTTGCTGCTGCAGCAAAACAAAAAATAAACAAATAAACAAATAATAAATAAATAATAAATTATATAACAAAATAAATAAATAAAAGAAATAATAAATAAATGAATAATATCAAATATTAATGAGTTGGTGGTTGAGAAATCCACGAAAAGGAATAAAATGGAAAAAAATGCAGCTTGAAACTCATCAATAGACCTGTAAACCCTAAACCCTAAACCCTAAACGCTAAACCCTAAACCCTAAACCCCAAACCCTAAACCCTAATCCCTAAACCCTGACGCACATGATAAGGCATCTGGTTTCTTTTCTTGAGCTGCAACACACAAACCAAGCCTCAAACCCCAAACCCTAAACCCTAAACCCTAAACCCTACCCACTGAACATTTAGAATCTGTAAAAGGCGTGAAATTTGCTGGAGACAAAAAGAGACAAAAGGAAGATAAAAAAACAAAAAAGTTAAAAATGCAAAAGGAGACAATTCGGAGGGAAGATAAAAATAAAAAGAAATAAAAATGAAAAAGAAAAGAGACAAAGGAGACGGACAAAAGAAGACAAGAAAGGAGACAAAAAGGACAAAAAAGAGATTAAAAAAGAGACAAAAAGGAGGCAAAGAAGAAACAAAAAAGGACAAAAGAGACAAAAAATGAGATAAACGGAGACAAAAAAGGAGATAAAAGGAGACAACAAAAGAAATAAAAAGGGACACAAAAGGAGATAAAAGGAGACACAAAAGGAGATAAAAAGGAAACAAAAAAGGAGATAAAAAGGGATACAAAAGGGACCAAAGGAGACACAAAAGAAGATAAAAGGAGACACAGAAGAAGATAAAAGGAGACAAAGAAGAAGATGAAACAGGGGTTCAAAAAAGAGACAAAGTTTCAAAAAAAAAGGTCGAGAGGAGACAAAAAGGCCTCAAAAGAGACAAAAAAGATAAAAGGAGACAAAAAAAGTTTCAAACGGAAACAAAGAAATGCTTCAAAAAGAAACAAAAAGTGATTCAAAAAGAGACAAAAAAGGGGACGAAAAGGGCTTCAAAAGGAGACAAAAAAGCTTCAAAGAGAAACAAAAAAGTTTCAAAAATGTTTCAAAAAAGAGACAAAAAAGTTTCAAAAGGGTTTCAAAAAGAGACAAAAGTTTGACGCTGTTTCCGCACTTGTCTGGTCATCTTCAAGTTCCATTTCTCCTTCTTCCCGAATCCAATCAGCTCTAAAAATAAAATAATAAAACAAATAAAATAAATAAAATAAATTATTTTAAATTAATTTAAATTAGTTTAAATTAATAAAAAAACAAAAATAATTATGCTAAATTAATTAAAGAGATTTATTGGAGCATTTGAGGTAAAAAATAAAATTACAAAGCTTTTTAAAAAGGAGAAAAGGCAAAAAGTTGAAAACCTTTTGCCTTCTCATGTAAAACAATAATATAAAATAAAACAAGTAAAGAAAAAAAAAAAGTGGTAAACTCTGCAATAAAACAAATAAAGAAAATAAAAAGAAGTAAGCTCTCGCAAATAACACAGAGAAGAAAAAATGGTTAAAAGAATTAAAAATAAGAACTAAAAATACAAAGAATTAAGTGTGAAAAAAACGAAAAATAAGAAAGAATTAAAAGTAAAGAATTAGAAATATACAAATTAAAAATAAATATAAATGAAAAGAATTAAAACTAAAAGAGAATTAGAATTAAAATTAGAAATAAAAATAAAAAATAAAAAGAAATAAAAATAAAAAGAAATAAAAATAAAAAATGAAAAGCTGACGCTTTGTTTTCTTCTTCTGTTCTTTTTGCTGCTGCTGCTTCCGCCAGAATCGAAGACGCATCGAAGGCGCCAACTCCCGAAAAAATGCTGAAAAAAGAAAAATAAAAATTAGTTAATTTTAATTTAGTTAAAGTGATAAATTAAAAATTAAAATTAGTTCATTACTCGCCAGCAGCAAGAACGGAGCAGCCGCTGCAGCGGCAGCAGCAGCAGCAGCAGCCGTGCAATACGAGCAGCAGCAGCAGCAGCAGCTGTGCAGCAGCTGCTGCAGCAGCAGCTGCAGCATAGCCTGCAACAGCAATGGCAGCTGCGCCAACACCAGCAGCAGCGACAACAGCAGCAACAGGAACAGCAGCAGCAGCAGCAGCAGCAACAGCAACAGCAGCAGCAGCAGCAGCAGCAGCAGCTCACTCTGCTTCTGGCTGATCCGTCCGCCCATTTTCCTCTGCAGCTTTTCCCGTTGGCCTTTTGGGCACTGAAAGAAAAATAAATTAAAATAAAAACAAATAATCAATTAAAAACAATAAAAGTATTATTTAGAATAAAGTGAATTGAAATAAAAACAAATAACTAATTAAAAAACAATAAAAGTATTATTTAAAATAAAGTGAATTGAAATAAAATAACTAATTAAAAAACAATAAAAGTAGTATTTAAAATAAAGTGAATAAATAAAAAAGAATAAATGGGAAATAAATCAAAAATAAATAAATGAAAACCTGAGAAAAGCAAATAATAAACATAAAAACTAAATGGACAAACAAATAATTAATTAAATGAATAAATAATTAAGTGATAAAAAATAAATGAACAGATCAGCAATAAAAATAAATAAATATAAACATAAATACATATAAACTATTAAATATATGAATAATTAAGTGGTAGACGAATAAATAAAAACTAATAATGATAAATGATAAATAATAAACATATAATAAAAATAAAAATAAAAATGAACGAACAAAACAAATAAATAAACAACTAAACATCCAAATAAAAAGCCCCTTCAAAGCCCATGAACCAATTAACCATCATTTGATCATTTATTTATTTCTTTCTTCATTTAAACAATTAAATATAAATAAATAAATAAATAAATAAATAATTACATCTGTCTTCTTTTTTCTTCTTCCGGTTCTCTCTGTGCCATGCCAGCGCCTCCGTGAGTTCCTGAGTCTCAGGTGTACGTACACCGCAGGGGGTGAACAAAATTAAAAAGAAAAATAATTAAATTAAATTAAATTAAATATAAAAAAGAAAAAGCAACTAAATGAAATTAAATCAAAATAAATAAAATTAAATGAAATTCAATCGAAAAGCCATGAAAAAGAAGAAGCAGTTAAATGAAATTACACAAAAATAAAAAGGAAATAACAACTAAATGAAGTTACATAAAAAGGAATAAAAGAAAAAAATAAGTGAAATCAAATAAATAAATAAAAAGAAAAACAATTAAACGAAATCGAATAAAAAGAAATTAAAAAACCAAAAAAGTTTCAACTTCCTCCAAATGGAAAAAAGAAAAAACAAGAAGCAAATAAACAAAAGACAAGTAAACAATAACGAGACAAACAAATAAAACAATAGAATAAATTAATTAATTAATTAATTAATTAATCAGATAAATAAATAAATAAATAATTTATAACGCACCCTTAGAACCTTCGACTGCACAGGGGCAGGCTGGCATTTGCTGCTGCTGCTGCTGCTGCTGTCGCTGCTGTCCGAGAGCAGCGCGCTGCGGCGCAACAGCGTGGGCAGGTAGCCACCAGTAGCAGCAGCAGCAGCAGCAGCAGCAGCAGCAGGACCCACAGCATAGCAGTAGGCTAAGCAGCCGCCCCCGAAATTAACTTTTGAAGGAGAAGCAGCTAAAGAGAGACCCTGAGAATAAAATAAATTAAAAAATTAAATTAAATAACTTGCTTCACTTTAAAGCAGCAGCAGCAGCAGCAACAGCAGCAGCAATAGCAGCAGCAGCAGCAGAGGCACCAGCAGCAATAGCAGCAGCAAAAGTACACCACTAGCACGCCGGCCGCAACGCCAGCAGCAGAAACAGCAGCAGCAGCAGCAGCAGCAGCCACCGGACAAAACCCTAGAACCTAAACCCTAAACCCTAAATCCCAAACCCTCATGCCCAAAGCCGAGAGCCCAAGCCCCAACGCGCTAAACCCTAACCCCTGAACCCTAGACTCTAAACTCCAAACCCTAAACCATAAACCCTAAACCCTAAACCCTAAACCCTAGTTACCGCGAGGAGTCGGAGTTCCATGTGTTTGAGTTTTTCAGCAAATCTGACTGCGTGGGGGTGAAGTCCATTAAGCAGCAGCTGGAGGGCTTTTCTGAGATTAGGGTTTGCTGCTAAGGGTCTGCGCTGCTGCTGCTGCTGCTGCTGCTGGCCGTCTGCTGCTGGCGAGCCTGCTGCTGCTGCTGCTGCTGCTTGCCGCTGCTGCTCCTTGCTCAGCTCCGCCCGCACTTTGTTCAGCAGCACAACGTCAAGACCTTTCACCAAGTGAGTGTGGTCCACATCTCCTCCCTTGAAAATAAAAAGGAAAATAAAAAGAAAATAAAAAAGAATAAAAATAATAAAAAGCAAAACAAACGCAGCAGCAAAAGTGGTCCACTGGCGGACCACTGGCAGCAGCACAGCAGCGCAGCAGCCGCACCAGCAGCAGCAGCAGCGCAGCAGCTGCACCAGCAGCAGCAGCGCAGCAGCAGCAGCAGCAGCGCAGCAGATGCAGCAAAGGAGCCAAAAGGGCGAGTTTTGCTGCATGCAACTAGCGAAAAGTGGAGTTAGATAGACCGTTCAAAAGCCGGAATTACGGAGAACAATTCTGGAAAAAGAAATCACAAAAGGGATAATTAGTTATTTCAAAAAAAGAAATTTACGAGAAACTTCGACTCCTCAACAGTCCTCTCCTTCAGCTCCGCCAGCTCGTCCGCCACGTGGGCGTAGAAGCTCTCCTTTTGCTTCCGCCGCTCCTCCGCGCGGTCTCGATAAGCATTTCCTTTGTTGTCTCCTGAATAAATAAATAAATAAATAAATAAATAAATAAATAAATTTATTTATTCATTTATTTATTTCTGAGCAGCTCACGAGCTTCAAAACGATCTGCGTAAGTGCCGCAGCAGCAGCAGCTGCAGCAGCAGCAGCAACAGCAGCAGCAGAGCGTCAGCAGCCGCAACAGCAGAAGCAGCACTGCCGCAACAGCAGCAGCACCGTCAGCAGCAGCAGCAGCTCCGGAAGCGCAACAACTGCGACATCCACAGCAGCATCAGCAGCAGCAGCAGCAACAGCAGCAGCAGCTCTAGCGGCGCAACAACAGCGACATCCACAGCAGCAGCAGCAGCAACAGCAGCAAACCAGCAGCAGCAGCAGCAGCAAGCTACCTTCATCCTTTTGGGCTCGGAGTTGTTTCCTCTTTAGAATTTCCTTGTACCTTTCTCTTCTGCGTATTTGTGCTTCGCTGATTTGGCCCGGAGTTCTCTGCTGCTGCTGCTTCTTTCTGCAAGAAACAGCAAACGCCCATGATGCTGCTGCTGCTGCAGCAGCAGCTGGTGCTGCTGCTGCTGCTGCAGTAGCAGCTGCTGCTGCTGCGGCTACAACTGCTGCTGTCGTGGCAGCACGTGCTGTTGCTGCAGCTACAGCTGCTGTTGCTGCTACCAAACTGCTGCAGCAGCAGCAGCTGCCGCTGCCCAAACTGCTGCTCCCGTAGCGGCGACTGCTGTTGCTGCTGCTCAAACTGCTGCTGCTGCTGCTGCTCTATGCTGCGAGTTGACTAGCCATGCAGTCAAATCTCTCCTTTTTGTTTCACTCTTCCTTCAAGTTGCATAATTGATCTTTTACCATTTATTTACTTATTTGTTTATTTTTAATTTATTTATTTATTCATTTTCTGACCTGTGCTGTTTCGTGCTGGCCAAGACAGAAGCGTCGGCCTCGTTGAGCAGCTGCCGGAAGTCGTTGTTGGTCAAAGACATTTTTAAAAATAAAAATAAATAAATAAATAAATAAATAAATAGTGTAGCCGCTGCTGCTGCTGCTGCTGCGGTAGTATTTGCGGCTGCTGCTTCTGTGGTAGTATTTGCGGCTGCTGCTTCTGCGCCTTGAGCAGATGCTGCTGCTGACGTTGAGGCTGCTGCTGCTCGTCCTTTGTTGCTGCTGCTGCTGTTGCTGCTGCTGCTGCCGTTGCTGCTGCTGTCGCTAATGGAGCGGCTGCTGTTGCTGCCGCAGCAACAGCAGCAACTAGCTGCTGCTGCTCTCGGTCAGTGCAGTTGGAAGGAAAAGCAAGCAACAGCAGCAGCGGCTGCCATTCAGCAGCAACAGACAGCTCTGCTGCTGCTTTTAATTGCTAAATAAAAATAAAATAAACTCTTGAGAGTCAAGGAAGAAGCAGCATTTCAAAGCAGCAGCAGAGAACAACCACAGGAGGAGGCGCTGCTGCTGCTGCTGCTACAGAGGCTGCCCTTTCTGCTGCAGTTTATCCGGTTAAAATAGTTTTGTTTGACCACTTTTAGATAAATAAATTAAAATTATTCATTTTTATCTGAAAGAGGAAGCAAAACAGCCGCGCGAAACCATCAGAAGGCCCCATGCAGCCCCGGGGGCCCCCCTGCAGCAGCAGCAGCAGCAGCAACAGCAACAGCAGCAGCAGCAGGTGCACGATATGAGCTACTGCTTAGTTAAGAGAATGTTTTCCTGCAGCAGCAAAAAGCCTGTAGGCGGGGAGACAGCTAAAGAGCCCTCAATTCGCGTAACAGCGGCCAACAGAGATATCTGTATCTAACTGCTGCTGCTGCTGCTGCTGTTGCTGCTGCTGCTGCGCTGCTGCATCCGCCGGAGAAACTGGGGGCCCCTGGGGGCCCCCGGCGGGCCCCTGCTGGCTCATAGCTTTGAAATCAGAGGAAGACAATAAGGTGTAATAAATAAATATGTTTCTGGCGAAGAGATAAAGTCAAAAGGCTGGTGTTGCTGCTGCTGCTGCTGCTGCTGACGACGACTTCCCGCAGCCGCAGCAGCAGCAACAGCAGCAGCAGCAGCAGCAGCAACTTGTACGCTTTGGAGTCGGTGACATGTTACCCGCAGCCTTTTGCTGCACCAGCTCCCCTCTTCACTCCGGGGCCCCACGTCAGTTTACTATTTAATTATTAATTAATTAATTAATCAATTATTTAATTTAATTAAATTAATTAATTTAATTAACTAAACTTATTAATTAATTAATTAATTAATTAATTATATTATTTAGTTTAATGTGTTTAGTTACAAACAGAAGTCTCATGGCTGGTGCCTTCGGCCTATTTGTGCTTCTTCTTCCATTATTATTGCTGCTGCTGCTGCTGTGCTGCTGCTGCTGCTTTTGTGTTGCTGCTGCTGCTGTCTTGCTGCTGCTGCTGTTGCTGCTGCTGCTGCTGCTGCAGGTTCTGGAGCAGGTGGCGAAGACCCGTGTGCTGGTTGTGGGCGCTGGCGGCCTGGGTAGATAAATAAATAAATAAAAATAAATAAATAAAAATAAATAAAATAAAATAAAATAAATAAAATAAAATAAATAAACAAAATATAAATAATTACAAATTGCTAATTATAAGCTGCAGCAAATGCAGCCTTAAGATAAGTAGCTTCGCCTGTCTTTCTTTATCTGCTGCTGCAGCTGAAATGCTGCTGCTGCTGCTGATTCGCCGTTGCTGCTGCTGCTGCTGCTGCCGCTGCTGCGGAATTGCCGTTGCTGCTGCTACTGCTGCGACTGCTGCTGCTACTGTTGCTGCTTCTACTGCTGCTGCTGCTGCTGTGACTGCTGCTACTGTTGCTGCTGTGACTGCTGCTGCTACTGCTGCTGCTGCTACTGCTGCTGCTGTTACGTCTGCTGCTGCTGCTGCTGTGACTGCTGCTGCTGCTACTGCTGCAGCTGCTGTGACTGCTGCTACTGCTGCAGGTGCTGTGGCTGCTGCTACTGCTGCAGGTGCTGTGACTGCTGCTACTGCTGCAGTTGCTGTGACTGCTGCTGCTGCTGCTGCAGGGTGCGAGGTGCTGAAGCTGCTGTGCGTGTCTGGCTTCCGGCGAATTGCTGCAGTGGATATGGACACTGTCTCCTTTTCGAATTTGCACCGCCAGTGTCTCTTTGCTGCAGCAGATGTTGGCAGCAGCAAAGCAGCAGCAGCAGCAGCAGCACTCAACACCAGGTTCCACCACCTCGGCGTCACCATCGAGCCGTCAGTCCCCACGCTCCTGCTGCTGCTGCTGCTGCTGCTGCGCCGTTGCTGCTGCTGGCTGAAACGTTGAACCGCTGCCGCGCTGCTGCTGCTGCTGCTGCTGTAGCTGCAGCAAACTGCAGGTGAACCTCTTTTCTTTCCTTCGTTCTTGGAATTATGATTGCTGCTGCTGCTGCTGCTGCTGCTGCAGTCACTGCAGCAAGCTGCAGGCGAAGCCCTTGTCTTTTTTTCGTTCTTTTGAAATTATAATTGGGGCCCTCGACTGCGTGGAGACTCGCAGGTGGCTCAACGCCACAGTCCACCAACTCGTAAACAAACCTGCTGCTGCTGCTGCTGCTGCTGCTGCTGTTGGCGCTGCTGCTGCTGCTGCTGCTGTTTGTTTTTGGTTTCCCCCTTTCTTGCCTGCCCAGAGTCCCCGCACGCGCCCCCCGTGCCCCACCTGCTGCTGCCGCCGCTGCCGCCGCCGCTGCTGCTGCTGCTGCTGCTGCTGCTGCTGCTGCTGCAGGTGGAGCGGGACAGCAGCGGGGCAGCAGTTGTGGGGTCTGCCCCGCTGCTGCTGGACGGCGGCAGCGAAGGGCTGAAGGGACAAATGAGACTTTTCATTCCGGGTGTCTCCTCCTGCTACGAGTGCGGCTTGGGGCTCCTCACCCCCCAGGTCCTCTTTGCTGCTGCTGCTGCTGCTGCTGCTGCTGCTGCTGCTGCTGCTGCTGCTGCTGCTGCTGCTGCTGCTGCTGCTGCTGGTGTGCTGCTGGTGTGCTGCTGCGGCTGTGCTGCTGCTTGGCTGTTTCTGCTGCTGGTGAGGCTGGGCTGCTGCTTTGCTGCTGATGCTCTGCTGTTCCTCATGCTCGTGCTGCTGTTCTGCTGCTGCTGCTGCTGCTGCTGCTGCAGGTGACCTATCCTTTGTGTACTATTGCTTCGACTCCCCGGCAGCCAGAGCACTGCGTTGGTAAATAAAACAAAATAAAAATAAATAAATCGTTTTTATTTTTATTTTCCTTTTTTGCAAATTTACAAATAAATGAAAATGAAAATATTAAGAATAGATTATTTATTGCTGCTCATTATCTACTAATTTTTTATTGTCTATTCAAATTTATTATTAGTAGTTTTATTATTACTTGTTATTAATAAACTAATTGATTGATTTGTTTTTATTATTTATTCATTACTATTATCTATTTACTTATTAGTCTTTATTTATTTATTTATCTTTTCATTTTATTTATTTATTTATTTATTTATTTATTTATTTATTTATTTATTTATTTTTCTCAGCTTACTGCATGATGGTGCAGTGGCCGCAAGAACACCCGGAGGAGCCTTTGGTAAAAAAGAATTAAATAATAAAAATAAGTAAATAATAATTTAAATAAATTATTATTTATTTAAATAATAATTTAAATAAATAGAAAGAAGTAAATAATAATGTAATTAAAAATAATTAAATAGTAATTAAAAAGAACAAGTTAAATAATTGAAATAATTAAATAACAATTAAAAGTAATTACAAACAAACAAACAGCAATTCAAATGATTAGCAAAATAATTAAATATTAACTAATTACAGATAATTAAATAACATTTTAAATAATTAAAAACAATTAGGACAATTATTATTTATTTATTTCAATTAAAATCTTTATTTTCAAATAAAAGAAAAATGAAAAAAGCAAATTGCTGCTGCGCTGCAGCTGCAACTCCAAACTGCCATTTTCTTCATTTTTCATTTTCTCACTTACTACAACTACCATTATAAATAAATAAATTAATTAATTAATTAATTAATCAATTGATTAATTAATTAATTAATTAATTATTATTTATAGGACCCCGACAAAGAGTCTCATTTGGCCTGGCTCTTATTTGCTGCTAAAGAAAGAGCAGCAGCTTTTCACATCCACGGCGTCGACCGCCGCCTTGTCCTAGGCGTCGCAAAAGTTAGCTGCTGCTGCTGCTGCTGCTGCTGCTGGTGTTGCTGCTGTTGCTGCTGCTGCTGCTGCTAGTATTGGCGCTGCTGCTGGTGGTGTTGGCGCTGCTGCTGCTGCTTCTAGTGCCGGCGCTGCTGCTGCCTTTACTGCTGCTGTTGCTGCTGCTGCTGCTAGTATTAGCGCTGCTGATGCTGCTAGTCCTGGCACTGCTGCTGGTCTTGCTGCTGCTGATACTGGCGCCGCTGCTGCTGCTGGTACTGGCGCTGCTGCTGGTGCGGCTGTTTGGGCTGCTGCGGCTGCTGCTGCTGGCGCTGCTGCGGCTGCTGCTGTTGCTGCTGCTGTTGCTGTTGGGTGTGCTCACTCAGTGGGAGTGCTGCTGCTGCAACAGAAGCAGCAGCAGCAGCAGCAGCAGAGCTGCTGCTGCTGCTCCTGTTGCAGCAGCAGCAGGAGAGCTGCTGCAGCTGCCGTTTTCGGGTCAAATTAAAAGGGTGTTTATTTGAAAATGGATTTTAAATCAATAATTGAATTATTTTTCAATTTAATTCTCAATTTAAATTTATTTGTTTGTTTTGCTGCTGCTGCAGGGCCTCGTGCCTGCAGTATCCAGCACCAACGGTGCTGTTGCTGCACTGCTGCTGCTGGAGGCTTTTCGCTTTGTTGCATTTTGCTGCTGCAGCGCAGCAGACAGCAGCAGCAAAGGAGACATTGAAAATTATATTCTTTTTCAAGGAGACTCGCAAACCTACATGCACACCTTCTCCTTGCAAGCCAACCCTGTCTGCTGCTGCTGCTGCTGCTGCTGCTGATGTTGCTGTGGCTGCTGCTACTTCTGGGAATGCTTTTGTTGTCGCTTTTGCTGCTGCTGCTGCTGGAGGTCTTGTTACTGCTGCTGCTGCGCTTGCTGCTGCCGCTGCTGGAAAAGTTGCTGCTGCAGGTCCTGCTGCTGCGCTGCAGCACCAAGTGTTTAGGGTTTAGGGTTTAGGGTTTGGGGCGCTGCAGGAATGCATTGTTTGCCAGCAGCAGCAGCTGCTGCTGCACGTGAAGAAAGAAATGCTGCTGCAGCAGCTTTTAGACGAAATAAAAAATAAATTCTTTTTTGATAAACCTTCGCTGCGGGGCCCCACAGTGAGTTCTTTTGCATTAAATTTAAAATCATTTTTTAAAACAAAAGAATTAAAATAAATATTGTTTATTTATTTATTTATACTTCTTTACATTTATTTATTATTTGTTTATTTGTTTATTATTTCTATTATTTATTTTTCATTTCGTAAGCTTATTTTTAGCTACTTGCTTGTCTATTAGCCACTTGCTTATCTATTTGCCATTCACATATTTATTTTTATAATTAATTAATTAATTTTTATTTATTTATTTATTTATTTATTTATTTTTATTTTTATTTTTATTTGTTTAGGAATTTCTTTATATAGAGAATCCGCCGTCTTTGCGTTCGCAGCATCTTTGGAAGCTGCAGCAAACTTTGGGGTTTGTTAAAACAAAAACAAATGATTTATTTATTTTTAATTAGTTCATTTTTAATTTATTTATTTTAAATTAATTTATTTTCAATTTATTTCTTTATTTGTTGTCATTTTAATCAATTGCTGCTCAGTTAGCCGCTCTTTGCCGCTTTTTGCCCGTTTGCAGCAGCAGCAGCAGCAGCATTCATTTTGCTGCTGCTGCTGCTGCAGCAGCTGCAGCAGCAGCTGCAGCAGCAGTAGCAGCAGCAGCAAAATGAATTAAATTGAATTGTTTGTTTGTTCAGGGAATTAATTGAAAAAGGATTTATTTTGGAAAATTCTTTTTTGCTGCTGACGGCGCCTTCGCTGCCATCAGCTGTGAAGTTGAAACTTATTTTTGAAAATTAAAATTCAAAAGGTTTCTTTTATTTATTTCTTTTTTAATTTTAATTCTATTTGTTTATTGTTATAATTAATTATAATTTTAATTCTATTTGTTTATTATTATCCTCAATTATAATTCTAATGTATTATAATTAATTATAGTTTTAATTCTATTTGTAATAATAATAATTGATTATTATTATTACAATTACAATTATAATTAATTGGAATTATGACAAATTAAAATTAGAATTATAACTTTAATTAATTACAATTATAATTTTATAATTATAATTTTACAAATTAAGATTATAATTATAATTAACTATAATTATAATTCTAATTTTAATTTGTTGCAGTTAATTATAATTGTAATTGTAATAAATGAACTAATAAATAAAGGGGCAAAAAAAGAAAAGTACAAAAAGAAATTAATAAAAAAGCCACTTATAAATTACAGTCGAACAAGTAAATAAAGAAATAAATAAATAATTAAATAATAGATAGATAAATAAATAAATGTATTTATTGAATGTAATATAAATAAATATACCTATTTTTATTACATTTATGTATTTATTTATCTATTGAAAAAAAAAGACAAAAGGGACAAAGAGACAATTTTGGAAAGAGACTTTTATCTCTCTTGAATTTCTTTTTTAAATCAAAAAAAGACTTTAATTTTATTTATTTTTGAACTTTTCAAAAACGAATTTAAATTAAAACAAACAAAACTCTGTCTTCTTTTTAATTCTTTTTCTTTTTTTTAATCTCCTTTATATTTCCTTTTTAATTCTATTTTAATTTACTATTTATTTCTTTTGGAATCTCTTTTTAGGCTTTTCTTCCATAATGTAATTCAGTAGAGTTTTCAAATATCTTTTAAAATATCCTTTTAGTATTTTGAAATCGGTTTTTAAATATCTGCTTAAATTTTCCTTTTAAAACATCTTTTTGGAATATCTTTTTGAAGTCTTCTAGTTTTTTATTTAGACTTTTCTTGAAAAATATTTCTTCAGAATATCTTTCAGAGTTTCTTTCCAAAAGACTTTTTTAAAAAGATTTTTTTTGAATATTTTCTAATTCTGTCTTCTTAAAATCTTTTTCAAAAGTTCCTCTTAATAAAAATATCTTAAAAGTTTTCTTTAATTGACTCTTTTGAAAGTATTTTTGTAAAGTTTTTCTATTTAAAAATGTCCCTTCTACATAAATAAAAGATGTTTTAAAAACTTTTATTATTTTTTTTTATTTTTGTCCTCCAAGACGCCAGCTGTACGTACATACACCCCAGAGCCCTGCAAAGCGTTTATAATTTCATTTTCACTTTTATTTAAATTTCGTTTTTCGAGAATTTCTTTAAAGACAAAATGCTCTCCACACGAAAGAAATGACGGACACGCAGGATATCTGCTGCTGCAGCTGCTGCTGTTGCCGCTGCTGTTACACCAGCAGCAGCTGCTGCTGCTTTTGCTGCTGCAGCAGTTGCTTTTGCTGCTGCTGCAGCTGCTTTTGCTGCTGCTGCAGCTGCTTTTGCTGCTGCTGCTGCAGCTGCTTTTGCTGCTGCAGCAGCTGTTTTTGCTGCTTCTGCAGCTGCCAAAGGTCTGTATAAAATGAGTTTCGGGTTTTAAAAGTTGGGATGATTTCACTTGAGGTGTACGTACACCTGGGAACACCCACGTGATATCTTTTGAACTTTTTGTGTTTTGACGCTCCAGAAAGAGTTTTAATAATTATTTGAAATGTTTAATAATTATTAACTTTTAAATGTATGATTTGGAGTTTATTTAAATCTAAATCCTCGGAAAAACAGCAAAAAGCGTCTTCTCCGAGTTTCATAAAACTGCGTCGGGGGCTCCGATGGTTTTTTATTTTTATTTTTCATTTTCTTTTTATTTCTTCTTTTTCCGCCACTTTGCTGCTGACGCAATCAAACAAAACACAAAATAAAGCCCCTAATATTTCACCTGCACACACAGCAGCACCAGCAGCAGCAAGAACAGCAGCACCAGCAGCAAGAGCATCAGCAGCAACAGCAAGAACGTCAGCAGCAGCAGCAGCAGCAGCAGCAGGAGAATGCGGATTTGTCGCACGTGTATCAGTCGTCGCTTTCTTCTTCTGCTTCTGCTGCCTTGGGGGACTGTTGCGCTGCTGCTGCTGCTGCTGCTGCTGCTTTGAATGAAATATCTTTTAATTTCAAACATCCAACAAATCCAAAATTAATCCATTTAGATCCCGACAGCAGCAGCAAGTTCCCTTCGGCCCCCAGCACCCACAGCCTGTTGCGGGTGTCGAAGGCGAAGTCCACAGGCCGCAGCGCCCCGGGGATTTCCTGAATTCGCGAAAATAGAACCAATTTCCCCCCAATTAAGTGGATTTTTGCGGCAATTGAGGATAATTATTAAACGCAATTCATAATTTCCGAAAAGTCAACAAGAATGCAGAAAAAACGAGCCTAAACGAACACTTTTCACCCTCAATTTCAACATTTCGCGCTTGCACTCCGGAGTTTTAGAATGCGTGGAAATAGAGGCAAATCGAGTGGAAGTAAGAGAAATTTGAGGGAAATACGTTGAAATTAATTAAAATAAATGAAGTTTGATTGAAATTGGTGATTATTAGTGAAAAGAAAATGAAAAATGAACAAAAATCGACGAAAAAAGAAAGAAAATGGACGCCAAACAAAACAACGGCCAAACCAAACCAAAAAGCCAAACAAATTGCAAACAAAGAAATAAAAAGAATAAAGGAAATAGAACGTAAATAAAAACAAACAAAAGAGAACAGAAAAGAAGTAAAAAAGTGATAAAAAAGAATAAAAAGGACACTAGACAGAACCAAAAAGAGATAAAAAGCAGCAAAAAAGCACAAAAAAGGAGCAAAAAAAGACCAAAGCCAGCAAAAGAGACTAAAAAAATAAAAGAGAAACAAAAGGAGTAAAAAAGAAGCCAAAAGAGCAAAAAGCAGAAACAAAAAGAGTAAAAAAGAACCAAAAAGAAAAAAAAAGACCTTAATGTCCCAGTCTTTTTCTTCTTCGCTCCACACTGCGAGTTCACTCGCAGCATTGAGGGCCCAAAGATTTCCTTTTCTGTCGAACTCAATTGTCTTCAATTTGTGAAACCCTTTTTGTTCTTTTGTCTCCAACGAAAACCCTCCCCAACGCAGCAACTCCCCCTGAAACCACGCACCAACTCCCCCTTTTAGGGTTTAGACTTTGCAACGCCACCGCACTACTCCCCCTTTTAGGGTTTAGGCTTTGCAACGCCACCACACTACTCCCACTTTTAGGGTTTGGCGTTTAGAGGGGGGCCACATTATTCACCGTTCTAGGGTTTCGGGTTTTAAGGTGGGTTTGGGGTTTACAAGGGGGGCCTAGGGTTTAGGGGTTCAATCTAGGGTTTAGGGCTAGGGTTTAGGGCTTTTC